TTTGACGGCTAGCTTACAGTGTTTTCTGTGCCTGATCTAGTTTAAGTCCCAATTTTGTTTAATATGACACTGTTGCAAATTGTGTAAGAGTGTCGCAAAAACCACAAATTACCTCACTTTTTCCGCGCAACCATGATGCATTTTTTTATCTTTCTGGATAGCTAATTGCTGACTTACCAAGAGTCTTTGTTCCAAATGTTAAGCAAATTGTATTTTTAATTAAGAAAAACTAGTTTAAAAATAAAATATGTTAAAAACGCAATGAAACATAATTTCTTTCCAGGTTAAATAATATAAATTATATAATTATTGCGAAAAAGTAAGTAAATAAAGATTATACGACTTTTTGGTGAGGAGACATTCACTACTCATACAAAATAATAGAAAAGACATTCAGTATTTCTTTGTAGGCAATAAAATAGACAAATAAAATTCCAATCGACCCGGAATAGATTACTTTTGCAGGTCATTTAGTTATGTTAATATTGAACATTACACTTATGTTTATTCGGTGACCCTCTAAAAGCCAAAAACAAAACGTTGTTTGAATATTTCTGCATCTCATATTTAATAAGCAATTAAGGGAAAAATGTTCCGATTTTTCGCGTTGCAGAGCCACATTTCTTACCCCGTGACTGGGGCAAGTATCACGTTCTCAGTTCATGTTTAGAAGTGTAATATAAAACACCCATCCAATAATGAATTTAAATTCAAGACTGGTTTAATGTCATTCATCAATTTCAAAAAAACCTCCTATCATGTGAAAGTCCTAGAAGATGTTTCTCGAGATTAGAAGGTAAGCATAAATTGGTTACGATGAATGCGTACATCAATTAATATTGATATTTAAAACATTCATTTTTCTAGTCGAATCTTGCAGAAGAAGCAGTTCTCAACTTAATTCATTCCTTCAGTTTAGATATACAATAAATGTACCTAACGGATCACACTCAATTCAAAGAAGGAATCTATTCAATTAATAATTAACAAAAACTAGCTCGATTGAAATGAATCAAAAGACACGATACAGAATCCGATGCTTTTTTTTACACAAATTCTTACCATTACAGGAAATGCAAACTGAGACCAAACATAATACACGTGATGAGTAATTTTCCTAAAAAGTAAATAAAAATAATTCATCAATTTACTTGCTTGCAGAAGTCATGACGCGTGGTTACAATACTTTGATACAAACGATAAATACAATTCTTGTTTTCAACGCTTCATTTCATTTAACACTTCTTTCCTCTAGTAAAAGAGAAAATTAATATTTCGGGAAAAGAGCAATTCTTGTATTATCACAAGGATTAGCATCATGTAAACACAAACGAATTTTTTCTTTCAATTCTAAGCATCATAAGTATCCTGGTTTCCTCCTCTACGTTAAAAAAATACGGAATCATTTTAAAAAAATCATTATTGGCAGGCTAAAATCATGAAAACATACCCGGATATTTGAATCGAATAATAAAACAAAACCAACGTTTGGATACAGTAAAAAATTGATCAAAATAACTAGAACCTTTAGAGAGTTGTTTAAAAGATAAATATAAAAATGAACGACCGGTAACAGGGCTAGCCTCTTAACCAATACTTTTCTGAGAATTGTGCCGATCTCACTAAGGGTCTTCAGCCACAAAATTCAGGCATCAGAATGTCCCCAAAAATTTCACGCACGATGTTTTTCCGAAACTCTATGAGTATGAAATTCTCAAGTAATCGTACACTAAAAAAATATATTCGGCCATTTAGTGAATTCCGGATTGTTTGTTAAAGTGCGCTCCACCTATACACCCGTTAACTCAATATCTTTAATGATATGCACAGGATTTATCCATAAGTTTAAAACAGCTAAGATGTAAATCGCTTTCAAAACAGCAACAAAAATGAAATCAAATTATCGGCCAATAGGATTTGTCGGAATTTTCAAAATTATTAGGTAGCTTTTTACGTAAGAATTAGGAAACATTTGCTAGTAAACACGACGTGTTTTTCAGATGCCAAAAATGGGTTCAAAATTTCAAAATCTACGAAACAGCCATATTTTCTTTTCTTAAAATTCGTCCTCATCATGGATCAAAACGAGGACCTATTGCAATATTCTTAGACCTTTTCCAAAAGCTTTTGACTGTCAATAAGGCATAACATTATTACTCTCAAATTACCTGTAATGGAATTCGTTAGTGTTGCTCTACATTGTTTATGTTCGTACCTTAAAAGCAACGATTTCGAGAGTAGAATGAAAAATGGAAATAACGAAATATTATGTACAACCTTTTCTGTCTTTGACAATTGCATGTGGAATTCTCGCAGGGATCGATTTTAAGGCCCTATTCTCTTCCTAATATTCGCAAACGATATGCCTCGACGATTAACGAGGAGAAAGACAGTTCCTCTTTGCGACGATACGAATAATTCTTTGCAATAAAGAAACCGTGAATAGTACAATATCAGATATTTCAAATTTGTTCCGTAATAACAAATTAATAGTAAATGAAAAGAAAACTGTTTCAATGCAGTTTTCCATTACCAGCATCGCACTTCACTGAAAATAGAACGGGCCATGACTGATGTTATCCTAACAAAGTTTTTAGTCTTTTCCAATTCACTCAAACCTTAAATGGAACGTTCCATTTAATGAATTGAACCCTAGAATTAAGTCTTTAATCAATTTCGAGTTCAAGCGAGGAAAAGGACAAGCGGATTCGAATAATGATAGATTAATAAGTTGCCACGCGAATTTTTAGGGCTTAGGTAACAAAGAAAAATAACTCAATGACAAGTGCAGAAAAAAAGAAATCATTTTGAAATATCTTCAACCAACAAAATGAAGAAGAGAAAAGAAAGAATATATAACGCAATAGAATATGAAACAAAAGGCTATCTGGTAATAGCAACCAGGAGGCGTGGACACTCTAAATAGAATAGAAGTGATATCCATGAGAAGAAAATACTAGCGCTAATAAAGTAATGAGAACAAAACTCAATCCAATAAGAAAAAGACACGTTCATTTGAAAGGTTAGATGAAGAGAAATGCCTACAACACAATAAATCTATGTTCAACCCACATGAAGAACAAAAGAAAGATAATATTGATCCACTAACAATAGAAGAATTATTATGAGTATTAAAGAAATGAATGTAGAAAGCTATGTATAATATAACTAGAACTATTAGATATGGAAATCACTTCTCTCCATTTCAATTACTGTCCTAATTAATCATTTACAATCAATGTTGGCTAAAAAGTACATACTAGAAGGATGGCAAACACCAAAATAATATCTGTGTCAAAAAGGGAGATCGAAGTGCTGTGAAAAATTATAGAGTATTTATCCCTAAACACAACAGTATAAATATACAGTAAACATGATCCGAATAGAGATTAAGACGAATCTGAAGATATTTTAGCGAAGACAAAAATTAGATAATCGAAAGGAAATCCCGTCACAGATAATTGCTTTTATATCCAAACCAAATAATAGAGAAAAGAAGAGAGTTTAATTTAAGACATGCCATTGATTTTGAAAGCTCGACCGTTAAAAAGAGAGAATAATGAGTCATTAAGGGGCCATAATGATCGAAGAGCTTTTCAAAATATTTAATAAACATAGCTAAAGATTATATAAATACAATATACGAATAAAAATAAATTCACAACCATAAAAATCTAACCAAGATTAAAAACTAGTTCCCAATATTATTTAACATCTTATAGACGATATTTCAATGGAATACTGGTAAAACAAGGGATCAGATTGACTGAATAATGATATCAATACTCGCTATTTGTGCTGATGACCAAGTTATTTAGTATTAAAGGAAAATGATCTCCAAAGCAATTCCATCAATTAAATCTAATGTGTAAAAATTATAACATGGAAGAATATCAAAGAAAAACGAAGTCATGGCTTTAAAGGAAATCTATCAATTAGACAAGATTGCCTGAAGAAACAATAGAACAAATAATTCACATTTCAATATGTGGGATGTGATATAAGTTACCCAAGATATAAAATAAAATTTCACAAGTTCCAAACATATAGGGCACTGCTACATAGAAATAAGAATAAGACTAGAAAATACACATGTTAAATTTACAAAACAACGTACAACATCAGTAGTCCTGTGTGAGAGTGGAAATTGGGTCTCTCACAAAAAGAAAAAAAATGAATATTCAAGCTACAGGATGAAATTTTTAAGGAGAGTAAAAGGTCTACTTTGCCAGACAAAGAAAAAATGAAGATATAAGAAATAAAATATTTAGTCTAAATGATTGTATACAACTAGTCAAGACAGACTGGCAAAACATGTAGAAAAATTTTTGGGAGGCAAAACATAGGTTACCTAAAAAGTTTGCTGCAGTACCAACCAACGGAAGAAGTAAGAGAAGAAAAAGAAGAGAAGAAGAGAAGAAGAAGAAGAAGAAGAAGAGAAAACCAGAAAACAAGAGAGATTAATGTTCTTTATCTACCTTTTAGAATCTTTCAAATTCAGCCAGCCTCCACACTGTTGTTGGTGTATATTTCGCGGCTTCATCCCACCTGGATATGCATATATTCTGGGAAAACATTTATTATCCCAAGCGTTTAGATTACAAAAAGAATTGTACGACAAGAAGAAATCACCCAGTGTCTTTGTTAAGCTCTCTTTATTAATCCAGTTTTTTACCTATTACCTGTCTTCTTTT